ACACGCACACGCGCACGCACACCCACGCACACACACCCACGCACGCACACCCACGCACGCACGCACGCACGCGCACACGCACGCACACGCACACACACACACACACTCACTCACTCTCGCTTGAATCGAAGGAGCTTGAAATGGAACAGACCTGATGAGACGGAGCCAGCAAGTTGCATAAGGAGGGAAAGCTGCCAAGTCTGCCAACTTGGCAGGGCCGAACAACAGCCAACTGCAGAGCGGCAAATCCGAGATCCTGGGATGCTAGTTTTACCAGTTCATTTCTGGGACAAGCTCCCCTCGCCCGAGTGCCATCGCGGCGCCTTCGCATTCACGCCCAAGGCGAAGTTTGACAAAACACGGAAGCCACACTGAGCATGTTGAATCGAAGGCTCGACACCTCGGCTACTCCGGACCGGGGGTTGCCTTCTCGGGCCGTGGCCTTACCGGATGCGAGCCGTTTAGTTCAGAAGAAGTTGGCTTACCTGGAAGGCCTTGCCACCGCCGCCCTGGCTGCTGCTCCGGCTTGCGTCACTGCCTCAGGCAATGAGCCACGGGTGCCGTGTTCACCCTTTCAGCCGCCGGCGCAATCGAGAGAGCCTCGCCTATAGCCGTAGGTCGTCTTGGCTGCAAGTTTCATGGGCTGGTCCAGATCGGAGTCTGCCTTGGTAGAGCTCACCAGGCCACATTGCTGTCGTGGCCAGCGCATATGTGAAGACAGTTGTTGCAGCAGGGCACGGCCACAGCAGCCATGGGAAAGACTTGGTCGGTACGACTTGGAGAAGCTTGAGGCAGGTTTTACGCAGTTCTATTTCCCGATGCTTTGGATATGGCTCTCGTCTTGAAAGCATACTGTGCTCACTGCAGGGGCTTTATCTCGACGGCATCACGAAGTATTACTCAGAGTTTTACGACAGGCGGGTGCAAGAGTCAGCCACATCTCTGCATCGAAAATCCCAATACCTGTCAGACCCTCGAGCACCGGTGCCGCATCCTGGAAGAATCAGCGCACTAGACATTTCTAGGGAAGGTGTAAATTTGTGTAAACTTCAGAGAGTTGAACGAAGCAAGGTCAAGAAATTGAATGACTGCGAGTACTATCGAATCAAGGCCTGCATGACTTCTACGAAAAGGTGCACCACACATTTCTCAGTGCTTCTGAAGCAGGTGCGCTTGGAAAAAGCAGGCCAGGAGTCGCAAGGATTTTTTTATACTCTTCCCGTATGTAGATCCTGCCATCCTCACAACCGGCGCTTGCACTGCAGGCTCCAAGGTTCTGCGGTATTGCCGTGCCGATATTCAAAAGCTCGTTTGCCAGGCACAGGCACTCGACAGTATTCTGCCGTCAGTCTTGGCAAAGCTGCTCAAAGCTCCTGCGCTGTGATGCAAAAGTTGTGGAGGAGACACAAGAATCTGTCGTGCCGGTGAATGACGTGGAGGAGAAGCCGCCAGCCACAAGAGTGGCAGCGGAGGAGCAGGCACAAGAGCGCTCAGGGCGATGATGCAAGTATATTTTGGTGAGAGTCGTTCAGAAACTATACGGGTATCTTTGAGGTTGGCAAGCTTGATGCTCCTGTCCTGCGAGCAAGGACTCGGAGCAGTATCGCCGCCGGAAGCCCTGTGCCTATGCAGGAAGCCTCACCAGAACTTCTTCAGAAAGACGCCTTGTGGACGGCAACAGTGGCAGCTTTGCCTGTGTCAAGGGTAGCTTGAGAAGCAGACATCTTTCGGCTTGCAATCCGTCTTGACTCTGAGTATTTCTGGATCCAATTCATGAGGAATCGAAGGCAGAGTCTGAGCCGATGGCACCTTCACCGGTCGTCGAGGTCCAGGTCGCGTGGGGACGAGAGAGAGCCACGGACAACTCATGAACACCCTGTCCTGCTATTCAAGTTTTGCGCCTTTGTGTGAGGCAGTGGTCGAGGATGTCGAGACAAATCCGGCCACGAAGGAGATCACAGTCGCGACGAAACTACTTAAACTGGGAACTGGAAAGTCTGCCTCCTAGCTAGCCTTCGGATATCTTCGAATCCCAGCGACACCACCTTCGGTCAGACAGGGATTGGAAAATGCAGTGGTTCCCGAAGCATGACACGAGCGTGATGTTTTTGACTATGCTTACATGCAGGAGCCGCCTGAGACGCAGAAGGAGGCCGAGGAGGCAGAGCCGCCCAACAGCGAGCAGCCCAAGGTCGAGCAGCCCGAGGAAGAGCCCAACGATGAGGAATTCAAGGATGAATCGAAGATGGAGTCCAAAGAGCAGTCCGAGGCAGAGGCGAAAAAGGTGCCTGGCATCATATATGGTGGGCTTTTCTTGTCTGGTTCACGTCAACGCAGCCTTTGAAGATAACCTCGTAGTGCCGTCGTCACTGAGGCAAGCGACACATTGCAGGCCCTTCTCATCGGCACGATTCAGTTCTGAATGCACTTCGCTTGCAACCGCTGTATGGCAGGACAAGGAAAGCGAAGGTCGCATTAGCTGAGGGCTGCCGAACCGTCCATCGAGGAAAAGGGGCTCAAACAACACACTGAACCAGATGAAGCCTATCATAGAAGCTGGATATCGGATAGCGCATCTGCATGCTTGCCGGCCTTGGTTGCCGGGGCAGCATCCGCCTTTGCATGGCCGTCATTTCATGAGAGGTGAAGCTTCGCAGCAAGCTACAGATTGCAACATCAAGAGGAAAAATACTCCTCCAGAAGTTTGGAGCTGCCTGTTCAAGCGTGACAGGAGCTCGAAGCTGAGATGTGATACGCAAGATGTAAGTTGGGGTGAGCAGAGAATCTGAGAAGGTGGTGTCAGGACCCAAGACCAGGAGAATCCTTCCGCCCGCCTGCGTGCGTGGAAGCCACTCGCAATTCCCGTTGTCCACCCCCTTCCGGCAGTTCCGTGCTATCGGGAGGGGAGTTGGATGTTGTTTCCTCTCCCCTGCCTTTCCCGACGCCAACACCCGTTGGTCGTACCGAATCGTACAGACCAGAGTCCTAGGCCTAGGGCTCTTCCTGGAGTTTCCCGTCTGCCATTCTGTTGAGTTTGTGAGTCTCAATCTTGCTGCACAGGCACCGTGGATTTCGTTGCGAATGGGTTGGTTCGATCAGATAGCTGCAAGCATGAGCATGGACAATTGTATCGCGACCTACAGGAATGTTACCTGTTAAGTCTTTCAGCACAAGCACACACACACACACACACGCACTCACACTACTTCATACGTCAAGTCGTGAAACTTTGCGGGCTTTGCTTTCGTAGACTTTGAATGCAGGGCAGGCATGAGTTCCATGAGCGGTATGAACTTGTACTCGCGTAATTCTCCACGTGAAACAGAATTCCGCTCATGCCGACGTGCTGTCCATCACGGAAATGGATTGCTGCTCTGACTTTTTTCGTGCCTTACTCGGCAGGTCAGGAGCAGCAAAGTCGGACACAGACTGGCATTGCATGCACACGTTACCTGAAAGCGTTGGATTAAGGCAGCCGCAAGATGGTACAACTTCGGCACGTTTGTCGGGACTTTTCGGCATGGATATGTCGGGCACAGACAGCAGGCAACGCGGCCAAACCGTGTGTGAGATATTCTGTGCAGTTGCTGGCGGACAGAGTGCGGATGCATGCCTGCTTCGTTCGATTGAGGTTAGGTTACACCAAGCTGACAGCGATGAAAGTGCCATGGCGGGGGACCTGAACTGCACACGTACCAGAGACCAGTCAATAGTGCCACCAGTTCATTTTTTGGGCCGCCAATGCGGGCGGAGATGCGTCGGGGAGCTGCAGTGATTACTCTTCTTTGCGAGGTGGACACCATTTGGTCCAAAGGTGACAAGCCAGAAGCAAGTCCCGAGAGGCCGACACACACAAAGTAATTATTGGCTGCCAGACTATTACGTCGTTGGGTTTCTCTCCAGGGAGGCAGCGGAAGCACAAAGAAAGCAGCGCTGGGAAAAGGTCCACAAGGAGAAGGACAGACCGCTGCCGATAAGTCTTGCGAAGGACCGTGCGCACTTACGTGCCTTTGCTCCAGGATCCGGATGGAGATCTTTTCGTTTCGAAGAACTTTCATGCCAAACGTGCCTGATCGAATGGTGATTCCTTGCAATACGCTGGATGTATTTGGATGCACGGTCGACTGAGGTCTGGCACGCGTCATCAAGAACCGCATGCAGTTAAGCGGGCGGGCGGTCATGCGTGTCATCGGAGATCGTTCAACGAACCATGCACTCAAAGTGTCCCGGATGCATTTCCGACTTTGCATGTCGACAGATTGTGGTTACATACGATGTTCCAAGAGAGGCAATTGCTATGGCCAATGAGACGCTTGTCTGCATTGTGCGATATACCTCGTCTGAGTAAGGTTGTCCAAGCTCCTTTGGGAGGGGGTGGGCACTTCGATGTGTTCGGCGTTGCCGGGTTGCCGGGAGTGGTGTCCAAGGATGCTGCAAGGAAGCGACCTGAAAGGCGAACAGGTGCGCTGTGGAGCAATACCTGCCACTGCAACAAGATGCAGCATGGAATTGCAGGTCCTTGGAGCTGTGCTATACTTCAAGCAGGTCAAAATAGATGAGCAGGATCCCGATTGTGGCTAAACTTTCGAAACGAGCCAGCCCCTGTTGCAGTGTGCTGGGGATTGGAGGATGACCTTGCAAATGTCCTGTTCCTCGAGTGCAAGCTTCTTCCACGACCAAGGCCTTCCTGATGAAACTTCGGTTTGTTGGAAATTGATTGATGGTTCCAGGTTGGAGGATGTGACCGTAGAGGACAAGCAGATCTTGGCAACAGGCTGGTCCCTTGTGATGTAATGCTTGCAAAGATTTTGTTGCATGCATTTCGATCGGGGAATCTGGTGACTCATGACAAGTTCCGCTGTTTCCCACGAAAGGCGAAGCACAAATCTCAACGTGCCAGGGACGAGGGAGAAGATGCCCAAGATGGCTGCAGCTTTGAAGAACCGCCTCAGGAGAGATTTTTCGAGAACGCGAAGTTGCAGCACGGTACACTTGACTAAAAGCTTCAGTGCAATGAAGAGGATCGGGTGTGGCAATTAGCACAGGCTCTGTGTGTGTGTGTGTCAGTTGAGATCTTATTGACTTATTGCGTAGGTCTATACACAAGTTCTGTCTAGAGCAGCATTGAATCACCCTGAGGCAGCAATCAAATTCTTAAGATAAGGACGGTCTGTGTAGGCAAGCAACCTGCTTTGGCCATGCTGCAGCTGTGACTGACGAGCTGGGAAAGCCAGCGAGTCGGTTGGAATGCTTGAGAATGAAGCCTAGGACGGCATTACCAAATGAAACTAGAGCAACAGATATGGAAGAATATTTTGAGGACGCACCTACTCATGCTTCTTCAGCCTTCAGAGAGCATTGCCGAGTGTCTGCCTCGCCTCTTCCAGGGAAAACGCAGCTGCCGTCGTTCTTGGCATGGGGCCTCGGCAACTACATTTGGCTGTCAAGGCCTCGCATGTACACAAGCATGCTTACAAGTAGCGGTTGAATTTTGCATGGCACGGCTCCAGAGCTTTGGAGACATTCCGACATTCCGATTGGCCAACCGCGAAACTCATCGGTTCAGGCTTGAAGCCTAGTGTGGACACTCGTTTCTTCTCCAGTTTCTGGGAGGCCATCTTGCAGGCTGGGCGCTTCCTGCGTGAGGACGAGGTGCCTTGTAGCCCGCGTGAGCGCCCACGCGCCACGGACTTGCGACCTCCAAGCGTCAGGGCGAGGAGGGCGATGGACTGAAGGCCTCGGCGGAGTGTTCAAGGGAGGCATGGAGCCAAGAGCGGCGTGCAGGTTCCTGCCATCGCCGTGATGCCAGCCATGCAGGAGTTTGCTCCCAGGCCGCTGAACGGTCGCGGCAGTCGCAGTCGCGAAGAAGCGCTCTCCACTCTTTGCTCGAACGTCGCAGCCGCAGGTTAGTGAAATCGCGAAAGTTCATGAAGAAGGGCGAGGATGATCCGGTTTCGATTGGTATGAGGCTCATGTTGTGAGTGTTCAAAGTCGGCTTGCAGCTTGCAGCAGTGCCAACTGCGGTCTGTAGTGCCTGTTCCCCTCGCAGCTCTGAAGCATTATGAGCGGCCGGCACAGCTGATTGCGTCTGGCGTCAGGCTCGAGTGCATTGACATCAGAAATCGATGGGCGCCAGCTCCCAGTGAGGGGGATGAAGATGCTGGCAGCAAGCCTGCCATGGTCGCTGCACCATGGGAATCCCAAGAGTGAAAAAGGAAGCTGAGCGCGCGCTGTGAACTCACGAAACCGAGTTTGTTGAGCAGTGCTGGCTACAAGGAAGGTGGGGAAAGACTCGGGAAGCAGCACTATAGATTTGTTGGTTCTGCTGCTGCCCATGAAGCCGAAATTCACGTGAAAGTTAGTAGCCTTGCTCCGTTCTCTCGCAGTACGAGCTGTTCAACCTGCCTCCATTGAAGTCTGGCCTTGCCATTGCACCTAACAGGTCACCATGGCTCGCCTCCTGAAGATCTCGCTTCTCTTCGGTCTGGTGCATGTTGGTCTCGCAACGAACATTCGAGGAGGCCACCAGGAGCCGACTGACGAATCAGACGACACCTTGCCAGACAGCCTCCTTGCTGGCAATGCAGTCGTAGGCATGGATCAGGACATGCGCACAAAGATGTTGGTGCAAGTGAAGGCCATGGATGCCATTGTCGATGCTTGTGAGGATGTCGTTTGTGGAGAGCTGAAATGCCCCTCTGGGTTCACTGCAACGAAGTACGACGGCCATTGCTGCGCGTACTGTGTCAATCCCGACATCAAGATTGAGCCCAAGATTGTCGGCGCTACGGGCAAGTTCGGTGCAGAAGAAAGCGATGTTTGCCCTTATGTCTGGTGCTTCCCAACGATGTGTGAGAAGGAGGAGATCATGCCGACGGAAGAGAACGGCCAATGCTGCCCCGTGTGCCCGAAGTAGGTCGAACCACGAAGGCTCCAGAGAAACCCTCAGCCCTGCATACATGCCTTTCATCTGTTCATCTGTCTGAGTGGCACAGGCGAGAGTACTTGGATGTGAGACATGCTTGCCTTGATGTCACCTCGAGTCCAGTTGGGGTTAGCTGGCCGGGCAGCCATCGCAGCGATGGCCGTGGCATCCAGCTCAGACGCTAATGAAATGCTAGCTAAGCAGAAGCGAGTGACTTGTGGCTTTACAGCACAGAGATGGGCATGTTGCGAGGTGCTCCAGCATCCGCCGATGGCGAGATGGACCTTTGCCCGAGAAGATACTGAACCACTGCCAGGGCAAATCCTGCAACCTCCGCTCCCAGAAGGTCCCCGAGTGCCTCTGCCATCTCCTGAGCCCTGCGATGCGAGAACTCCTGCGCAAAACCGCAGCATGGGCAATTCACTTTTCGCCTTTGAGGGCCATGATTCAGCAGCCACAGAACGTGCACCTGCCTCGGATTTCCAGATTGCAGGCTTCAGCTCTGAGTGCCTTGACAGCCTTGCGTACACTTTGTGCTCCGTTTGGATGTCGCGGCGTATGACAGCTTCGAGCAATGCGTGCTGTGGGAACCGCAGAACAGACACAGCCTCGGCCGGCCCTTGCGAACACTGCACGGACAGGATCCGGATAACTCTTGAACCAGAACCTCTCAGCCGCATAGAGCTGACTGAAGAGTCCAGCATTTTACTTCAGGTCGTGCATGCGTGTTCTCGCCGTTGCAGCAATGGCACGTCGCAGAGTTCAGCCATTGTTGATCCTTTCTGGCTTGGTGATTGCAGTGCAGGGATCCCGGAGGGTCCTGGATCAAGAGCTTAGTGATCACATCGGATTTCACCTGCATACCGCAGGCTATGCAGGCTACAGAAATCGCTTGCGACCGTATCGGCCGTGCCGAGCCCTTCGTGGCCCGTCAGGTGCCGTTTCATGGATTTGTCTTGGCATGCTGTAGCGAGTGGTGAGACGCATGGGGACAGCACGGCACAGTGCGACTTCGAAGTCTTCCTGTCCAGGAGAAGATGGTTTTTCAATGCGGCAGCTTCCGCTGGAGTTGCGGAAAACCTGCCTGCCTACGCACAAGGTGGGGAGCGGACTGAGCCTCCGTAGATTTCGGTCGGAATCCTTGAGGCATTGACCTGGGGTTCTTGGATCCAAAAGCTCCCAAAGATGTCGCTGTGGCACCCGGCGATGCGGAAGTCACCTCGAGCGCCTTGCCTAAGCGGCCTTGTGCTTTCCTGGCTGTTTCGGATCGGCGCTTCCCTAGCAAGGAGTCCAGAAGATGAGATCTGAAACTTCGTGGTTGCAAGGTGGCTTGAAGTCCAAGCTCCTGCTGCGGCCGACCTGTGCGCTCTCAAAGTCGATTCCGCTCACGCCGCCTGGGTCAAGCCAAGCCATCTGCCGTGGAGTCTATTCGTGGGTTCTATGCCATTCTATGCATAATGCTTCGTCAGCATCATGCTTTTTCAGTCTAAGGAACCCCAACTGTGAGCGTCCGCAGCCGTGGGACAAGGCTGAATGATCCGTTTCGAAGCTGATTTTGCGATGTATTGTGATAAGAGATGCCCGGGGACCGGGGAACCCGGTTCTGTCCGGATCCTTGTTGCCAGGTTTTGATCGACTACACGGGATGGACGCCGGCTGGCAAGATGCTCCCTGGTTGCGCGAGCAGCTAAGCCAGATTTTGTGGACTTCGCAGCGCTGAGGATCGACAGCAGCAGGAACGAGAAACGCTTGGTTCGCGTGAACTCCGTCATGCCGGGATGGACCGAAGGAGCGATGGCCTTTCGAAGAGTCTATCTAGCTTGGGTACTTGAGAGTTGTATAGTTTGGAGGACTCCAAATGATGGCGCCTGGGGAATCTCGCCGATTCTGGATTCCACCCGAGCTGGCCTTTGGCAAAAATGAGTCTGTCACTTGGAGAAGAAGATTTGAATTGCTTGACCCCTGAAAAGCCAGCTTTGCGAAGCTCGATGTCTTTGGCGATGCTGCTCCATTTTGCAGAGTGCAGAGACTCTGCAAGGCGACCAGTAAACCGACTGGCCCGTTGGTCTTCGATGTTGAGCTGTATTCCATCGAGAGGCCTGGCAAAGTCGATGCTTCGGGCCGGCTAGTGCAGCTAATGTTTGTGGTGCTACTCGCATCATGGCTTATGGAGTGCTGATTTTGCTGCTCTAGGTTTTCTCAGGCAGGATGACACGATCACGCAACACACGCTTTATCCGCTTTGAGACCCTCCAGTGGAAGCAACAGAGAGCATGGAACAGATGAGCCCATAAGATCTGTGCAATCCCTGACCCACAAGGAGTGGGGATTCATCATGTAACCCCAGACCTATACTGCACCCCTTCCAATGCCGTAAATCGGCACAGATTCAAGACGACTTGTGTCTGGTTTGATTGTTCACCGCTCTGACAGAGCCCCCAGACGTATGAAGCAGCTGCGAACCGCGTTGGGTTTTGTAGACTTCTGTAGACTGGCGGATCCCGCCGATATGCGTCCTTAGTAGTGTCTCCGCATGCCCGAGCATATCGGTGATGTCGGCTCCACTACATGTCATGTTGTTTGAACCAGGCAGCCAAAGCCACCAGCAGAGTTCGGAGCCCTGGACATCATCAGAGGGCACCAAAGACGATGGACAGTTCAGTGCCAGGCTGACTGCTGCGCCGCAGGATGCAGCCAGTCTCTCAGTGTCTCTCAGTGCTTTCAGGTTTCAATGCATCTTCTCAATTTCTTGTGGTAGATGCAACCAGCTTCAGGAACCGGCTCTTGATAGTTTAAAATGTAGGTTTCCAAAGACTGTAGGTCGCTTTGGTACGATTACCCACCGACCTGATATGTGACAGATGCAAAGGGGCCGAGAATGAAGGGAAGCCCGTGTGCGCCTATCTAGTGCTCAGTCATCCTGAAGAGGGCCCCTGAAACGTCGAGAGCTTGGAGCTTTCATGAGCCGATCTCGCCGAATCCATTCTCCGATTGCGAACCCTCGTGCGTCGTCCGCCCGAAAGCATCAAGATAGTGTAGGTCTCCACCCCCAGCGGCCTCGCTTACAAGAAGCTCAAGCCAGGCCACAGGGATTTGAGGCGCAAGCTGAGCCAAGCTAAGCTTTCTGCGTCTTCGCCAGGCACCGGAAGCAGGAGTCCAGGGCTCGATTCGCTCCTCGGCGTTTTGGAAAGGGCAACGGCGGATGCAACGGGGGAATACGGGGGCGCCTGAGGAACGTGACCGCCTTGTACAACGGCTGGTCCTCAAACGGCGACCTGGTGCTTTCGACGTCTTTTGGAGCCCAAGATACCTTTTTTATCAAGGAGGCCTTGGGCCTTGAGCACCGTGTCACAGAGAGAGCTTATTGCGATGGAGGTTCCCGTTGAAGGCTTGAAGGAGGCCTTGCAACTCCTGGTCGAAGGCAGGACTCGCCTAAAAGGGATTGGCACGTGTCGTGCGTCTCTGCTGTTTGTCAGGCGAAACACGCCGTTTCTGGATCCCAGGAAAGTTGGCTTTTGGTGAAAGGGCAGAGGAAAGTCGTGGCCTTCCTCCAGGTGCGGATCTTTGAGTCTAGCCGAGCCCGGAAAGTTCCGTGCACGTAACTATTTTTTTGAGTTTGCAGGGGTCCTTGTATTCGATGTGCGCCTCCTCAGCATCAACAGCTGAAGCCTTCGACACGGGTCTCACGCGACTATTTATTTGCTACGTATCGATTTTCCAACGCTGCTGGAACCCATCCACGCATGAAGTTGCAAGGTTGCTGGTCACGAGGGCAGTGGCTTATGCAGTGCCAATGTAGCACGATCACAAAAACCCTGATGCTGTGTATATCTGTGAACAAAGGTGCCGTTTTTGCAACGTCCTGCGCATTGGACGGTTTAATTTTGCGGAGAGTTGGCCTTGAATGAGTCTAAGGACGCCTCGGCAACCGGCTTCGCTTTCGCTCCCTGTGCACGGAAGCTTAGTGGTTAACGGTTAGTGGAACTACCGGATTCCAAGTATCATCGATCTGTCGGTGGAGTCCTACCAAGGGCGAAGAGAGAAGTCATACAAACACAGTCTCCGGAGGCACATTGTCACTCAGCTTTCCGCTGCCCCAGCTTTCCGCTGCGGAGGTTGCCCAGAAGGTGCTTTGGGAGAGACCTGCGAAGCCAGCTGGATGGTCGGCCATCTGGGAGGTTCGAAACGTGCGATGGCATGTGCATGCTGTCGTTCCGCGACCGTCGTGCTGCGCTGCGTTATGAGGTTCTGCCGCCGCCACCACCACCGCCGCTGGACCAAGATGGGTCCCTTCCCCGGAGGAGCTCCAAGCAACGGACAGATCGCTTCAGATGCGCTGAGGGTGTGGATTTGGGTGCCAGAGGGCGAGGAGATTCCAGTCGGTGCCATCGTCCCGCATGACGCATTCCTACCACATGCAGATCTGGCCCATTCCTCAGTCATCGTCAGAGACGAAAGGAAGAGGCAGCAGGCTAGCGGCTAACACAGCGATGACTTGGTGGCAGCCGAGGAAGATGAGGACATGGATCTAGACGACATGGAGGCCCAGGGTTCAGCTCAGCCGCCACCTTGATTCCGAAGCCTTGGACCTATGCCATGCACTGGGACATAACTTACATAACCCACAAGTGTCAAAGCCAAGGTTTGGGCTGGATGAGCCGGAGCACAAGCTGGATCAGACAACCAACGCAGGCTCGCCCTGGCCTGGCATTTTCTGAACCGTGCAGTTGAGAGCTTATGTCACGCAGACACACGCACTTCAGGCTTTGCGAATCCGTCCACCTTCCAGGCCAGGACTGGACAGCTTTGACTCGAAGATTTCGGGCTTGCAACGAAACAGTGACGGAGACACAGATGTACGCGCACATGCAGACACAAACAGCAGCCGACAAAGAGGGCAGCACCTTGCATGTAGAGCGAGTAGGCCCGGTGCAAGATACAGTGACAACATAGTAATAACGCTGAACCATGTGTCTTATGCAATTTGCCGAAAAAGGAGTTGCAGGAAATGTTCAAGGAAAGCACTGCATAGCCACATTGGCATGCTTGCGTAGAGGATGGGGTTCTGTCGGCTCAAAGGCTCAAAGTACAACCGCAGAGGCCTTCGTTTAATCTCCAAGCCATTTCCACAAGCTGGGCCACTGCGGAGATACTCCGACAGACCGAACCGGTGAACCGGGCGGGTGTGTGTCTCCTTGTGTGTGTGTGTGTCTCAATGACCGAGGCCTGGCAGCCATTCGCAACAGAGGCTACAGACCACGACGCCCCATCGACGGCCTGCATGGGACAGGGCTTCAAGCGGTCATTCAGTACAGAGTAGCAAAAGAATTTGGCCCGTTGTTTTGCTTCAGCTGCTTCGTTGTGTGCGTAACCACACGACGGTCGGCCGCGAGTCATGTATGCAGCCTCCGAAGAGGCTTGGCGTCCGTTCGATTCACACATGGACGTGCCTGAAGATCTTCCGGCCGGGCAGCAAGTGTGGGATGCGTCTTCTTTTGTGAAGCCTGCCATGCACGGACCCGACGATGGTATGCTTTAGTTAGCAATTTTTCGAAAGATGATGTTGCTTGGGCGAGCCGCGCTAGAGATGAGGTGGCATTCAATCTCCAAAGTGGCGACGTCCAGCGGTTGCCTGACCCGCAGATATCTGCCGGCGCTATGGTGCAGAGCAGCCAGCCGGCCAGACATGCCGACGAATTGGGGATGCTCTTATTCTGATCATGGCTCTTCCTCATAGATCTCATAATACAGCTTTCACGATGCCCTGAAACTCCCAGGCAGGCGCCCAGAAGCTCTGAATTATAATGCCCCTGAAAGCTTGCCGTCGAGAGGCTTGTAGGAAGCTTTGCACATTCACTTGGGGCTTACAACTCGTGGTTCTAACTTACAAAGGTATGTGTCTATGCCTCCGTGAAAGATCCGAGATGGCATTGCAAAAGTCAATTTTTCACGACGACGGTCACTCTGGGATGAAGGAATTTAGATCAATATATTTGGTCCCGATTCTCGGTTTGCCGACCCCCCAAACACGCGCCGAATCCCTGTGGCTGCACCCTCACCCAGACCCGAACCTCGAACCACTGATGATGATGATGATGATGATGATGCCAAACATGCCAAGAAGACCCAAACCGCGAACCACACCACACCACAGGAGGGGGCGGAAGGGAGCCACTCCAAGCAGACCCAAACTCCGACCCACACCACATTAGAGGGGGCGGGAGAACCACACCACATAAAACCAAAAACCACGCCACAGGGGGGGGCGAGGGGGTACCAACCATTGAGGGGGGCGGAGGGGGGTGGGACGGCCGAGCCGGGATCACGTATTATCTTGTTTCCGGTGCCGGGGCCGCTGCGTTATCGGGGCATGCCCTCCAAACCCCAAACAGAAGATCACTGCGCTGCACAGTGACCCTGTGACAATTGTACATTTGAGGCGGGCATGTGGGGGGAAACTGTTCCTGCCTTTGGAATCCGGGCATCCATGCTAACCAAGTGAATTTCGGGGCACGGAGATCCGGGGCGAAGCGGCATCCAGCGCCATGGCATTAACAAAGGCTCGCAGTGCGGAGCATCGGTCGGAAAACGGTTCCGGTCATCTTTCGGCGTGCGCCTCCGCCCTTTTTCAGAGGAATGCTTCCGTGCACTCCCGCTGCTATCCTCTGCTAGGGTCGGTGAAGAGTGAGACATGCAATGCAATCGCGCATCCCAGCTACAACGGGGTCTGGGCTAAATGCAGAGAGCCATGCAATCAGACCCTCCCGTTTCAGCGAGCCCAAACCTTTTCCAAGAATGCGCAAACGGCTCATTCTCGGCTGTGCATCTGTTGTGCCCACCATCTTGAGCCCAGGGCCATTTCTGACCTGTGATCTATGTGTCCTGCCAAGACTACTGTGTT